ACAGCGATAGCTTATCAGGTCAGACGAGCTCCCGGTATCGATTAGGATCCGACCAACTCGTTGATTGGCAACTTTACATTCGATGACAATGGGGTCATCGTGGGGCCACCTGACCGTACCCCTGTCTTTCTCAGAGATGAAGACTTCTGGGAAGACGTCTTTCGACGCCTGGCCTTCGTCCTCTGAGCAGACAACTTCCTGATGTTATCCTTGGCACCCCGAATGGTGGGGCCACCACTAGCGAAGCCGCCTGCAATGGTGTTGATGTGCTCTTCATCTATGTCAGAGCTCACCACCGGCTTCTTAGACGATTGCCCTCCATTTGCAGGGTTACCCTTGGACTTTGTCAGGTAGGACTTCAAAGCCCCCTCATCGGCCAACCGGTCTAATAACCGCCTGAGGCTGTAGCAGCCATTGGTGTCATGGCCAATGTCCTCATGGAATTGGCAATACTTGCTCTTATCCCGATTCTTGACAGCGCTCTTTAAAGGAGCCGGCTTTTCAATAGTCAAGAGGTTTTTTATCTCCATGAGGATGGAGGAGCAATCCTTTTTGAACTCGTACTTGGGGACGTACGGTTCCAACTTCTTTTGCTTTTTCTGGGATGACTGACCTGGGCGGTCAGCTGCCCTGAATTCTTTTCTTTTCTTTTCTTCCTTTCTGGCCGGCTGCTGGAACCGGCTCTCTTTTACGTCAGACCGCCTGGGTTCTGATGAGTGTTTGACGGCACAGAGCTCCGTCTCCTGTATATAGGCTTTGACCTCCATTAGTGCCTCCTGGAGGGTAGCAACCCTCTTGCGAACTAGGTCGAACTTGAATGTCGACCTATCTTTCAGACCCTTGAAGAAGTCTGTGTACGCAACTTCGTCAGACAGTCCTTGTATCTGAATTCTCGTTAGATTGAACCGCCTGACATAGGATCGAAGTCCCTCCTTGTCACCCTGTCGGATCGCCCCTAGGTCGAGACTGGTTTTCTTGGCCGGGATGTTCATGGAGAAGTTGGACGCGAACAAATATGCAAGCGTCTTAAAGTTATTGATGCAACCAGCCGGCAGATTGCCGAACCACCGTTGGGCTATGCCCTTTAGTGTTGCCGGGAAGCATCGACACCAGGCGGCGTCGTCCAACCCCTATAGGTACATGAGGTTGGTGTAGGCCATCAAATGGTCTTTTGGGTTGGTGGTACCATCGTAGGTACCAACCAACACATTCTTAACCTTAGCCGGCTGTGCCACCTCAATTATTTCGCGGGAGAAAGCCGAAGGCTGTTCCCCTAGGTATAGCAGCCTGAGCTGCCAGTCCATGGGCTGGACGGTGTTTGCCGCCATTCCCCAAAAAGGAGAATGCTGTATGTATGGTGATCCAACTCCATATGGTTGCTGAGGCACAAATGGAGCCTGGCGGATCACATGAGGAGCAGTACGGACGAACGTGCCGTGCGTTTGGCTCCTAGGGTGAGTTTCCGAATGCTTGATCGAAGAATTACGAAAACTGTCTGGGTATGTCGACGTTGAAGCCGTCTAGGACATACTCTGACCTCTCTTATCCTCGATAAACAACCGGGCATCTGTGAAGGTCTTTTTTGACCCATCCGGCTGTATTTGCCGGATGGCCTTTCGCAGCCCTGTTTCAGGGAAGCGAATTTTTGAAAGGTCAATTAAGGGCCCATCCCCTCCTTTAGGCTTGGGGTGAGGAGTAGGCACCCGGTCTTTGGTTGGCTTCTTTACTGAAGCCCTCTTGGCCGATTGGCCCTTGCTGGAACCAGCTGACTTTTTGATGATGTCGGTGATTTCCCCTTTGAAGCTACTCATGAGGTTCATGAGCTAATCTCTGGTGACGGGGGCCGACCCCTCCGCCGCCTGGGGTTGTCCGGTATGCTTACCGCCTGGGTTGTTGGGGCAAGCCTTGTCTTGGCCCCGTTCCTTCCTTTCTTTGGAACGAGTGCGCCTGGAGCGGAAAGACCCGTCTGGGGCCATATAGGTCTCGACATTGTAGTCGTCCCCACTTCCGCCTTCATGGTCCGTATGGACCTCAGGTTCAGCCGTGGGCCGGCTGCCCTCTACGTTTGGTACATTTTACGATGCCATCCCAGTGGTACTCTCCCCACAAACGGCGCCAAATGTTTCGGGGTTTTTTGAGGTGTCCTACGGGAGAGTTGCAGCACCGGGAATGTACGCCTGACTTCTGTACCTGCAAAACCACGAAACTCCGGTTGGGTGGAGTTCCGCCTCCGACGGTCAAGTTAGTATAATTCCGGATGAAATTACGTGCAGAAGGTAGATTGATTCTCTCGGATTCCGGGAGATTCCGCAATTAATATTGCTCGGGTTTTGTGGGCGTATTTATGAATATCAATAAATGAGGTAGATTCCTCTATTTATAGCAGATGGTTCTGCTCCCCTATTGGGGGTACAATGCCACGTGGCATCCGTTGGTTGGATGCCCATGGTTCAATGGGGAGATGACACATGTCAGATCCTTATAGGGCCACGTGTCCAGAGTAATTTTTACCCTAAACAGGTCTTTAATAAAGAGACGGAGGTAGTAGTAATTTATTATTTTTCTCTCTTACAAACCCCACTTAGGCCTTGCTCACTTAACCTAAAAAAAATACTTCATTTGTTCTCTTTTAAATACAACACTAAACGTTTGTCAATATATGATTTAAATTATTATTATTATTAATACAGAAAAATTATAAAGGTGTGATATTTATAAACTACTCTGTATAAACTGAGACAAATCTAACAAGTCAGGGGTTACTCGGCCGGTCAGGTGTTACTCTTATACAAAAACACAATAACTGACTGACTAACCCCAAAATAAGTAACCCTTGACTGACTGAGTAACCCATAAATAAATAACCCCTTAATGAGTAATCCCGTTCACACGGTGTGGTCAACCACACAAAAAAAAAAAAAAACACACCAATAAAAGATAGTGATTTATATAATTACATGGAAGATATAATAATACAAGTACTACACTATTTATAATTTCTCTTACTTTATATATAGCGTACATTTTTCTAAAACTCATTTACCTTTTACAAACTAACATGGAAACAAAAATCTACAATAATTATTTGTACTTTTGATATGAGAATGAAAAGAAACTAAAAATGAATATAAGAACATAAACATAGAATTAAATTAAACCAAACGCTACCTTACATATTAATTGTTTTCATAAACTTCTCCCGTTTTTGAATAATTGACTTAGTCAAACTTGATAAACATGTCAATGCACTAGTTTGACCTTAAATACACATAATTATATATCATTAAAAGATATAAAAAATAGTTGAAATTATAAAACTTTATATTAATACTTATTTATCAATATATTTCATGATAAATTTGTGTTTATGTGTTACAAAAGAGCAATAGTCAAAGTTAGTATATGAATAGTAAAAAAAGTCAAACGTGTCAATTATTTAGGAGAGAAGGGCTATTTTGAAAATAATGGTCAAAGTGGAATGCATTAATAGTAATATATATATATATACACGCCAATGAGAACCAATACTAAGATGAGAACTGCAAACTAAATGCATATGTTAAAAGCAAAGCAAAATATTACTCTCTATTAAGTTAAACTATTTTACTTTAAAAGTAAATCCTAATTATTCAAGCCCCTTGCACGACTTATTTTTACTTTTAATAAAGGAAACATATTAATTATCATGAAGTAGCAGCTTAAATAATAAATTTTTCAATCTCAAAGATTAAAGAATTAATTTGGAAAAGTTTTCATTAATTTATTGTTAAAAGTAAATGAAATGTTAGTAAAAGTAAATAAAATCAGTCAAAAAGTAAATAAAATTGCTTTAAAATAAATAAACTGGAAAAGTTTGAAAAGCCGCGTCATTGCAAAAATGCCACTAATGAGGCGGGCAAAATGCAAACCACTTCATGAAGTGCGATAGACGATCCAAATCAATTCCTAAATCTCATTATTCACCTTGATCCTCACATGATCTAAATTATATATATATATATGTGTGTGTGTATATGTTATATGTGTATACATATATATATATATATATATATATATATATATATATATATATATATATATATATATATTTGGACTCTTTATGTTTTGATTATATTCTACCTATGATACAAATAAATACTCATTGGTTTTCAGCCCTTTTATTGGAGTTGATAATCATAAGAGATGTGTTACATTTAGTGCTGCTTTATTATCTAATGAAGATGTAGAATCTTTTGTGTGGCTATTTTAAACTTTTTTGAAGTGTATGGGAAGAGAACCCTCTTGCATAATCACTGATTAAGAACCTGCAATGGGTATTGCCATACAAAAGGTTTTTACCAAGACTAAACACAGGTTATGTATGTGGCATATAATGAGGAAGGTACCTAAAAAGTTTGGAACTCAGTTTTGTAATGAAACTGAGTTCTTGAAAAAGATAACTGCAGTAGTTTGCGATAGAGAAATTGATCCCCATGTATTTTTTGATGGCTGGAACAGTGTTATGGAGGAATTTGACCTTGTAGATCATGAGTGGTTTGCATACATGTTCAAGATTAGGCATCTTTGGATCCCTGCATATTTCAGGGACTTGTTCATGGATGGGTTACTGCGTTCTACTTCTAGGTCTGAAGGTGAAAACAATTTCTTTTGTAATTTTATAAACCCCCATGTGACTTGTGTTGAATTCTTTGTCCGTTATGAAAATGCTCTTGATGCTCAAAGGCATGAACAGGATGAGTTGAACAGGCTTAATAAATCTAAGCCTCAATTGGTTACTCATTTACACTTGGAAAAGCACGTTACTGTTGTTTACAGTCGTGCCATCTTTTAATATTTTCAAGAAGAATGCGAGGCAGCCTGTTTCTCTTGTGGTGTTGAAAGTTGTAGTTCTCTATATGGAGATAGTGTGGAGTTTTCTATAATTGTTGATCATGAGAAAAGGAAAAAACTTTGATGTAAATTTTGACTTGGCCACATATGAATGCAGTTGTACTTGTAAAATGTTTGAGAGTCAAGGCATCTTATGTAGACACATTCTGTTTATTATGAAAGGCAAGTCTATACGTGAAATTCCTGATCCTTATATCATGAATCATTGGAGAAAAGACATTCTGAAGAAAGCTTCAGGCATAAATGTTGTTCTGGATGATGCTTCTAAGAATGATAAGAAGAAGCAATTGGTGAGTGATGTGTGGTCCAAGATTTTCAATTCTGTGAGTTTATTTGAGCAATCTGAGGATGATTTATCTAAGCTTATTAGGACATTATCTTCATTTGAGGAGCAGATGCTAACAAAGAATAATCTTGAAAATGCAACTAGTTCAAAAGAGGTGAAAGATGCAGATATTCAGGTTTTGGTTGGGTCAAATGAAGTAGATGTAAACATCTTGCCTCCAAATCAGTGTCTTAATAAAGGTTCTGCCAGAATTTCAAAGAGCGATTGAAGAGTGCAAAAGAAATAGCTTCTGAAGAAAAATCCAAAAAGGGCAGAACCTGTAGAGCTTGTGGGCAATCTGGTGTTTCACATGACAGGTAGAAACTGTCCAAACAAGTAGTTCTTCAGGTATTTTACTTTTACATGTGTTCTGTTTAATTTAATCTGTTATTTATATACTTTAAAATTTAACTTAATTTACTTTTTATTTTTGTGCACGTTTTTATTATACTTCTACTTTTTTTTTAGGTATTTTAACTTTGTATTTTTCTCATTTACTTTATGTTGAAATTTATTTACTTTACATTGTAATTTATTTACTTTACATTGTAATTTATTTACTTTAATCTGTCATTGATTTTATAATGTTTATTTTTGTGCGATTATTAAAATACTTGGTAATTTTAAAAGGGCAGAAACTGTAGAGCTTGTGGGCAATCTGGTGTTTCACATGACAATAGAAACTGTCCAAACAAGTAGTTCTTCAGGTATTTTACTTTCACATGTGTTCCATTTACTTTAATCTGTTCTTTATATACTGTAAAATTTAACTTGATTTACTTTATATTTTTGTGCAGGTGTTATTATACTTGTACTTTTTTTAGGTATTTTACCTTTGTACTTTTCTCATTTAATTTAAGTTGAAATTTATTCACTCTACATTGTAATTTATTTACTTTATTTAAATCTGTCAATGATTTTCTGATGTTTATTTTTGTGCATTTATTATAATACATGGAAATTTAAAGATGTTTTGGAAGATCAAGATATACTGAAGAAATGTTAATGTTTTTTTCTTATTTTTTTTTAGGTAATATTTTTACATTTACTCTAAGTAATTGCATTGTACTGCAGAAATAAAGTTCAGTTTATTTACTTTTACTTATTATACTTTAACTTTATGAAATATTTCATTTACTTTATGATATTGTTTTTTCCTGCCTTTCACAATGAATAATATATCATATGAATTGTATTATCATGTAATGTCCTTCTTATTTACAAAATTGAAGATAATATCCTATATTACTCCCTTCGTCCCAATATACTTTACACGATTTCCATTTTCATCCATCCCAAAATACTTGACACATTTCTAAAAAGAGCATGGGACCACATTTATAACATTTTTTTTAACACTCCCCCATGGTTCCATGGTAACAAAACTTGTTAATATACGGGGCTCTTTTATAAACAAAACATTCGTTTATTACTCGAAATTAGTAGCAATAGAACCAAATTTACTCAAAATTTTACCTATATTCTTTTTAAAAAATATGATATAAATTTATACCGAAATTCATACAAACAAAAAAATAGATATAAATTTCTGGCAAAATTTGTAAAAAAAAAAACAAAAAAAAAAGAAAAACAAAAACAAAAACCTTTTATTCAACTTCGAATTATCTTCTAATCAATTTTAAAATAAATTAAAACAAATTTAACCAGAATTAAAAGTAAATCAAACGAAATTGGAACAAAAACAAACAAAATTCCGAGAATACCTAATATCGAACTTCGAAACACAAAAATTGAACTTTGAACTACTCCGATTCAACTTCTGCTTCTTCAAATTCAACAAATTCAAGCAAAAAACACACAAATAAGTAAGAAATTGCAACAAAATTAGATAAAAGAGTTGAACTTCAAAGTTTCGAAATAATACCTAATTTTCGCCAATTTTTGCTAATTTTCGCGATTTTTGTTTCGAAACTGAAGAAATGTAGATTATAGAACTTGAATTATGCTTTTATAGAGTAATTAAGTAGTTGAAAATTGCGGTATGGTAGTTTTTCGAAGACTTTCAGCAGTTTTGAGCAGTTGAAAATGGCGGAGGAGAGAGAAAGATAAGAGGGAGAAAATGGCGCCTGAAATTTTCGTGCCTCATTCAATTTGTCTGAATTAATTTGGGCCGTTAGATCGCGCGCCTCTTCTCTTAGATCTGACGATCCATATATATATATATATTGCTTTCAATTCGATAACTTTATACGAAGTATATTCTATATGCATTTAATGAAAATATTTTAACATATCTTTCATATCTTTCATATATTTTATAATAGGTATTTTTCTTTAATAAACAAACATATACAACGTATAAGGTAATATATTAATATAATGTAGTACTCCTGTATTCTGTATCATTCTACATTGTATTTTTTTTTTCTTTGATAAAGTTTTTTTGCTCAAATCAGGATTGACACTTTAGCTTTTATTATATATTTGTAATTTATTTGTAATAATAACACTACAATTCAATAACTATAAATATAAAATAAAAAAAAAAACCTTTATTATTAATTGTTACAAAAAAAAGTCAATTAAATTTGTATAAAACATTTTTCCAATCAAATTAAGTATGCTATAAAACATTGTGCTGGTCAAAATAAACCAACAAAATAGGGACATATGGGGTATATAATTACATGCAAAAGTTATAATTAACATAAAATTTCATCTTATATTGTTTAATGATATTGTTTAATTTAATTTTGAACTTAGATCATGTATAATAGTTGATTATTTTTGTTGGGTTTCGTAGCGTTAGACGCTCCGCGGAAGAGAAACCCGCCCAAGACCTGCTCACTAACTAGAGCAACTAAACATGCAATCACATAATTACCAGCATAAGAGAGAGAAAGAGAAAAGACATTCTTACCCTTGACACGTGCTTCGCTCGATTCACGAGCTCTTACTTCAAAGTTTGAGCCTCGCAAGTGCGACAGCCTCCTACGGCTCGCACCCTCGACCCAACCCGAACGGTCTTAATCCCGAAGGTTAGTCGGGACTTGACCAAACAAAACTAGAGTATTACGAACTTAAAGGTTTTCTCACTTTTCAAGGAGATGCCTTTTTGAGTTCAACTCAAGTGATTTTTCCCAAACCCAAAACTTGGGTATTTATATGGAATGGAGACGTGATCTCCATTCTCCCATCAATGTGGGAGATTTGCATTTTCCTCTATTTTATTTTAATCAAAAACAAAATAAAAATGCAAGGCAATCAACAAGCTCCAAGTGTCACATAGAGGGAGAGAGTAGGTGAGGACCACCAAAGGGGGGACCAAATAACCTTGCTCCCTAAGCCAAGAACCAACCCTTGGTTGTTGGGTTTCGTAGAGTCCGACTCTACGCGGAAGAGAAACCTTCCCCAGCCCCGCCCACTAATTAAGGCAACTAAACATGTAATCACAAATTAAATAACAATTAAGTGAGAGAAGGAAAAGACATTCATACCCTTGGCGCATGCTTCGCTCGAATCCCGAGCTCTTTCTTCAAAACTTGAACCCCGCAAATGCAAAGGTCTCCAACGGCTCGTACCCACGAACCCGGCCCGAGCGGTCCAAGTCCCGAAGGTTAGTCGGGACCCGACCAATAAAAACTAGAGTTTTACGGACTTAAGGTTTTCTCTCTTTTCTAAGGAGATGCCTTTTTAGTTCCACTCAAGTGTTCTTCTCAAATATAAAACCTTGGTATTTATAGGGAAATGATCCTTGAATTCCCATTCTCAATCAATGTGAGAGATTTGCAATTTTCCCATTTTATTTAAATCAAAACAAAAACAAAATTGCAATTCAATCACCAAGTTACAACTAGCAATAGGAGGAGAGGGAGAAGGCGAGGACCACCAAGGGAGGGGAACAACCCACCTTTCTCCCCATGGCAATGACTAAGCCTTGCTCCCCACTTAGCGAAACCGGACCACCATGCCAAGTGGATGGCTGGCAGCCTGCCTTGGTTGCCAAGGCTACAAGCTGGCACCTAGCACTAAGGCTGGGCAGCCTGGCCAGCCAGCCAGCACACACGCACACAGCCAGCATGCATGCGCAACCAGCACAAGGCCAACTAGCACGCAATGCTTCGTCGCTGCGTGGTGCGTGGTGCTGTTCAATGCTGCTGCTAGCAATGCGCCAATGCCTAGCATGCTAGCAAGGCCTAGCCTTGCGATGCGATGCTTAGCCCAGCTAGCACACATGCATTGCTTGCGATGCTGTGTGCTATGTTGTGCGATGCTCAAGCTTGGTGCGTGGCTGCGATGGCTAGGTGCCAGCATGCTAGCAACCACGCAAGGTGAGGGGTCTTGCTTAGCCTAGCACCCACATGGCTAGGCCAATGTGAGGCTACGGCTAGGCTCGAACTTGTAACTTGATTGATTTCACGTCTCGTCAAATTCCAAATTCGACTCGACTTGCGACGCTCGATCTCGACGCTCTAGCTCGATATCCGACGTCTTTGTTCGTAAAACTATGATGACTCATTAAATCCTTCGGATTGATTCGTCGTCTCGGATCGGATGTTCGATTGGGTTCAACCCAAGGGTTTAATCAAGATTATGCAGTAATATTAATTGTACATTAATATTATCGATCAGAACCGGCCTCCACCTAGGCATTCCGATCACTTGACTTTACTGAAAAATTAGCTTTCTAATAATTCTAAACCCTCTATCGAAATAATACACTTGTTGGAAGGACACCATTCCTTTCAATCTCCCACTTGTCCTTCCGGACAAGTGTGTAATTTGTGTATAGCCCTTTTCCTATGTCGCTTAATGTTTTTTCATGAACTATAAGGTAAGATTATTCGTCATCCTTATTATGTTCAAAAGTGTTTCTCGATTCCCGAGTTTGACTGTCAATAAACAAATGATTTCACAGTCTCGCTCTTCGAGAGGCCTTCTATACAACAATAACATATTCCCTATTGTTAATAGGGGGACATTCCCAGTCTTGTACTGTAAGCTTCCCTTACTAAGAGGACCTAGTCGCCTGAGTGTTGCCGTTATAATCCCCATTTACGGCAGACGTTTGACAACATAAAAAATGACTAGTACTCAATACAAGAAAACTTGCAATACTCATGGTCGAGGAAAAAGGTTCTAATAGCTATAATGAGAAATATACTTATGACGATTTGATATCTCTTAAAGTATTCTCATAGGTCTATCCGGTATAGTTCCAAACTAGTACCTGTGCAAATGATTTATGACTATCATGTTCTTGTAGCACAAGAAATGGTGCTATAAATCATACAACACACGAATCTCAAGTGGTCATTAATCGTCCATCGTTTAAATGACCTCGATTAAGGATAATTTTCGATTAAAATATTTAATGTTCACTTAACAGGTGTTTCTTTATCCAAGACATGGTCTTGATACCCTGCTTTGAATATTCTCAGAAATCATATGGACTCATTATTTAATTCTAAACCATAATTAAATAAAAATGGAGTAATAATAAATTTGCTGAAAATTTAATTGCTCTAAAACCGAATGGTTCAGCATAGTGTTTTATATTAAGTTATCAAGTTTAATTAAAACACATATACAGGGAAATCAAAGCCAATCACCAACTTGCTTGATTCCCATTTCCTCAATGTGCTTGTTGTGCTTCACTTGAGGCAAACGTTTAGTAAATGGATCGGCTACATTGTCGTCTGTTCCAATCTTACAACTTTTGATTTCACCCTCGGACTTCAATTCCCTTATCATGTGAAATTGTCGCTTGACATGTTTGACCTTCTGGTGTTCCCTTGGCTCCCTGTCCTGAGCAATAGCTCCATTGTTATCACAATAGAGGTCTATCAGACCCTTGATGGAGGGTACAACACCAATTTCACTAATGAACTTACGAATCCAAACTGCCTCCTTAGCTGCTTCCAATGCTGCCAAGTATTTGGGTTCAGTTGTAGAATCTGCACTGGTTATTTGCTTAGCACTCTTCCTACTAAACTCTCCATCATTTAGGCAGAATATGTACCCCGACTGCGACTTGGAGTTGTCTCTGTCTGTCTAGAAGCTTGCGTCAGTATAACCTTTAACAACCAAATCATTACGACCACCATATACCAAGAATTTATCCTTGTTCCTTTTCAGGTACTTTAGGATATCTTGGCCGCAGTCCAATGCGCCTCTCCTGGGTCTGAATGGTATCGGCTCGTAGCACTTAAGGCATACAATACATTCGGCCTAGTACATATCATGGTTTACACGATCGATCTAATAAGCGAAGCCTATGGAATCTGACTCATCCTCTCTCGCTCATCGGGTGTCTATGGAAACTGCTTCTTGCTGAGAGTTATGCCATGGGACATGGGTAGGTGACCTTTCTTGGCCCCTTCATTGTTGAATTGTGCTAGTACCTTATCAATATAAGTACTTTCGCTCTATCCAATCATTCTTGTAGATCTATCCCTATAAATCTTGATGCCTAATATGTACTATGCCTCTCCCAAGTCCTTCATTAAAAAGCACTTACCGAGCCAGCCCTTTACAGACTCTAACAATTTAGTGTTGTTTCCAATGAGTATATGTCATCGACATATAAGACTAGGAATGCGATATCACTCCCACTGACCTTCTTGTAAACACAAGACTCATCTGGATTCTTTATAAAACCAAACTTACTAATGGCTTCATCGAATCACAGATTCCAACTTCTGCTTGCCTGCTTTAGTCCATAAATGGACTCCTTAAATTGTCGACCGTTCCAATTGTACAAATTCAGATTTCACCTTCGGATTTTCATTCCTTTATCATGTGAAATCGCTGCTTGACATGTTTGACCTTCTGATGTTTCCTTGGCTCCCTAGCCTGAGCAATAGCTCCATGGTTATCACAATAGAGGTCTAATGGACTCTTAATTGTGGGTACAACACCAAGTTCACCAATGAATTTACAAGTCCAAACTGCCTCCTTAGCTGCTTTCGAAGCTGCCAAGTATTCGGGTTTAGTTGTAGAATCTGCAGTGGTGCTCTACTTAGCACTCTTCCAACTAAACGCTCCTCCAATAAGGCAGAATATGTACCCCGAATGTGACTTGGAGTCGTCTCTATCAGTCTGGAAGCTCGCGTCAGTATAACCTTCAACAACCAACTCATTACAGCCACCATAGACCAGGAATTTATCCTTGTTCCTTTTCAGGTTTTTTTTTTATATTCTTGGCCGCAATCCTATGCGCCTCTCCTGGGTGTGATTGGTATTGGCTTGTAGCACTCAAGGCATATAATACATCCGGCCTAGTACATATCATGGAATACATGATCGATCAAATAAGCGAAGCATATGGAATCTGACTCATTCTCTCTTATCATCAGGTGTTTGTGGACACTGTTTCTTGCTGAGAGTATGCCATGGGACATGGGTAGGTTCCCTCTCTTGGATCCTTCCATGTTGAATCGTGCCATTACCTTATCTATATAAGTACTTTGGCTCAATCCAATCATCCTCTTAGATCTATCCTTATAGATCTTGATGCCCAATATGTATTGTGCCTCTCCCAAGTCCTTCATTGAAAAGCACTTTCCCAGCCAGCCCTTTACGGACTCTAACAGTTTAGTGTTGTTTCCAATGAGTAATATGTCATCGACATATAAGACTAGGAATGCGATGTCACTCCCACAGACTTTCTTGTAGACACAAGACTCTTTTGGATTCTTGATAAAACCAAACTTACTAATCGCTTCATCGAATCGCTGATTCCAACTATTGTTTGCCTGCTTTAGTCCATAAATGAACTTCTTATGCTTGCATACCTTCCCGCATTGCTTGGATCAACAAAACCTTCCGATTGTGTCATATACACAGTTTCTTCCAAAATCCCATTAAGGAAGGCAGTTTTGACATACATTTGCCATATTTCATAATCGTAATATGCAACAATTGCTAGGATGATCCGGAAGGACTTTAGCATTGCAACTGGCAAAAAGGTTTCATCATAATCAACTCCGTGAATTTTCCTATAACCTTTTGCCACCAGTCTAGCTTTGTATATAGATACATTTCCATCTTTGTCTGTTTTCAATTTGAAAATCCATTTGCAACCGATAGGTGTGTAACTTTCGGGCAAATTAACCAAGTCCCAAACTTGATTTCCAGAAATGGAGTCCGTCTCGGATTTCATAGCCTATTGCCATGTAGCAGAGTCAGGGCGCGACCAGGCATCTCCAGAAAATCGGGTGTGAACCTTGTTCACCCTATCCGTGCCCGCGAGTTAGGCACCTGCGCCCGCGGCGCTGGATGCCGTGCCTGCGGCCCTCTGGCTGTTGCGGTTTTTTGATCTTTTATTAAAAGATTCGATTGAGAGATGGAGAAAAAAAATCAGTTTTTCTCTCTTGTACTTCCTCTCCAAGATATAATTCTCCACACTTTTCATGGAGAAAACTTGCAATCTTCTCTTTGAAAACTCTTGAAATTTAGCCTTCCTCGTGAATTATTCATCGTGTTTCGATTCTAGTGCTATGAACGAAATTGCTATCAATTGTATTTCAAAGAGGATTTCTCGTTTAACCCAACACTAGTAGAAAAAAAATCAAATAGGCACCCCCCCTTTAGCACCGTTTCTTGAAAACCGGTGCCAAAAGAAATGGCAGGATTGGAAAATAGGGAGTTAGCACCGTATCTAACCAAAACCGGTGCCAACTCATTTAATTAGAATCGGTTCAAACCAGTGCCGACCTTTAAACAAAAAAAAACAAAGAAAGCAATAGAGTTGGCACCAGTTCGCCTTAAACCGGTGCCAACTTTAGTAATTAGCACCGATTTGAACCGGTGCCATTTAAAAAAAAAAAGCCCGGTTTATAACGCGCGTCTTCTTCTTCATCATTTCCTTGCTCTTTCCTCTTCTCATCTGATCTGCCTCTCTCTCTCCTCCATTGTAGCGTACTCGAATTTCTCCATTAAAGAGACTTCGGAGCTTCTCTCAGCACTATCCTAACACTCCGTCTCTCTCCTTCGATCTCCTTCTCCATAACCGCCGCTTTCCCTTTCCTTTCTTCTCTCTTTCGATCTCCTTCTCCTTCTCCTTCTCCTTCTCTCTTTCTACAATATTGGAGATTAGGGTTTCTGCGGGAAGGTAATGCACTCCTTCTCCATGTTCTTTCTTTCTTTAAAGTTCAGCTCTTTCTTAGTTACCCTGCACCATTGTTAATTGCATTGCTTTTTCTACAAATACCGTATTTTTTCTCTTTTTTTTTTTTGGGATTTTTTATTCCTCAATTATTAATCTAATGTATTCTGTGCTTTTGAGATTCTCTGACCAATTCATTTCATATGGTTCATTTAGCTTTTAAATTGGGCTTTTGTAAAAATTTTGTAATGTTTATGTAGTGAGAAATGTAGAAGCAATTCATTAATTTTAATTGTGGTAATAAATTGTACTAGGTGTTGCGATATGGATAATAATGATATAATGGCGTCGGTTCGTTTTGTGGTGTTCAAGGAATCAGAAACCCTTGAAGGGAAATGTATTAAGATTGAGGGTTATGATTTTAATCAAGGAGTGAACTATCCCAAGCTTTTGAAATCGTTCGTCTCAACCGGTTTCCAAGCATCTAATCTTTGTGATGCTATCGATGTTGTAAATCAAATGGTTAGTTTGAGTTTTAAGCTGTTTATTAATTTTAGGTGTTGTTCTGCTCATTTTCATATTGTGTTCATTTAAGTATTTTGTGTGGTTCAAGCTAGATTGGCGGCTGGCAAACGAGATACCCGATGAAGATTGCAGCAAGGAAGAGAGGGTGTTTACAGGGAATCCGTGGGGTGAAAAGTTTTTTTAGGTTTTACCTTAAATCTTATATCTTCTGGTGTTCGTGACACTGTTCGATATCTTACTCAGCATCATATGGTGAGATTAATTTTTAGATATTATTTCGCTTTATTTGATTTTTTCGAAAGTGTTGTTCAAATGTGTGAACTTAGTTGTGGGGTATTTAACTTATTACTTTCTGTAGATCCTATGCTTAACATAGTGTTGGGTTATTGGGTGAAAGAAAGTAATTTCTAAGAGAGAAGATTGTGTAGTAGCAAATGACTTGTAGCTCAGAGATTGCAATCTATTTGAGGTTAAACAGCAGCATGTAAATGCCATCTCCACGGAGAATGTTTTATATTATTAGCTTAATTGTTAGTTCATTGGTACAGAATGGTCCATATTTTTTCTTTTTCTTTTATTTATTTATTTTTTAAAAAAATCAGTCTAATTAAGCAAGCTAGTCTATCCTCTTCCGAGTCTCTGATCCACTTGAATAAAATCCAATGATACAGATCTATTCAAAAATCAAACTGCTACCATAAAAGAAGGGCACCAAGCATCTTGTTCTTATGGAGATGGCATTTACATGCTGCTGTTTGGATGTGTTTCAGATCATAATGTCTCAGATACATGATTTCCACAACATGAAATGGCTTTCTATCTTGGCTGCCATCATGTTAATTACCTACTCAACCATTGGATTGGCCCTCGGCTTTGCTACCGTGATTGGTGATCAATCCCATATATTTCATTGATCTTTTATTACTATTTACTTGCAGGGGTTGAAGTCTAGAATCGAAGATGTCAGAGAGGAAATGTACTTGCTTTTGTTATCACTGATTTTTACTTGGTTTGTCCACTTGATTTGCTTTCCCTCTCTAGTTTTATTTTTATTTTAATTTTCTCTCTCTAGATTACTTTGGTCTGGTGGTGGATCTATTTGTACATTAGGGATACATGTAATGCGATTGGAGTGGTAAAATAGTATTGTGGTACTGGTTTTGCATTTTGCCTTAGTAGGCTGTGACAAATAGCTATATGTGCTTAGCTTGGATAGTTGATCTTGTTTCTTAGATTATACTTGGATGGATTTTTTCTTTACTTAATGCATTGCTGATAAAATGATGTAAGAGTGAGAATATATAGTTCATGCGATGTTATTTGAAATAGCAAATATGATGTTCTGTCCTTTCTCTATGGGAACCAAGTGGTGATAGAGCTGTTTAAAGTGGTGTACCTCTAATTCATGGGTGTCTCAGTAGTATTGTCAATATTTTTGGCTCTCATAACTGAAATGCGGGTTATTGTTGGCTACCTCCTTGCGGGATCAATGATTGGGCCAGGAGGTCTAAATTGTATCAGTGAAATGGTTCAGGTGAAGTTAGACTGCCTTGTTTCTTTATAAATATATTAGAAATTCTATGACGTGCTCTGCTTATAACTTGTCGTGAGTATTTGTTCGTATGATTTACGAATATTTAGTTTTTCGTGCTCTTCCTCAGCTTTTGTGGTTGCCTCAATATCATATTTTACGTCAAGGTCACTAAATCCACAGAAGTATTTTAAAGACAGCATGTAGAGAGGGAAATATGTAGTTTATTGTACAACAGTGAACATAAAACATTTCTTTTTTCGTATTGTGTGTGTGTGAGAGGAGAGAGAGAGAGAGAGAGAGAGAGAGAGAGAGAGAGAGAAGGGTTATTTGTGGACTGATTTTCTGGGTTTATAATTCTGATTAATAGTACACTTCCCAAATTACCTTTCCTAAAGCCAGTCTATTACAGTATTGTATCAACATTTGTTACTATGACTTGTGTATTGAAATTTGAACCGTAAAGTGTGATCTTTTGAGAAGAGAGACTTGTATAGATGAATGTTTTTTATGTGTAGCTTTTAATCCATTCCCATTGATAATTTCTCTTTTTACATGTGTTTAGCTTTACCAAATTTTGGAAACTTGTTTCTTCAGCCATCTAATCGTTTTGTATTTTTTTTTACATGTTTTCTTCTACATAGGTTGAAATTGTTGCACAATTTGGTGTTGTGTTCCCCCTGATTATATCTTTATCTGTGTTCTTACTGTTGCTGTTAATTTGACTTTTTGATGAAGAGTTTCATTACATTAACTATATGTGTTCATTTTGAGAAAATGAACGTAAATAAATCAAAACCATAAATGTATTTATATTTTATGGTAGAAGTTGTATCAACTGTAATTTGGTGCAGCTTAGAGCAGTAGGGCCTATAGCTGCTCTCGGTGGGGTGCTTCAAATTATCGTGTTCATGTTTTTGCGTGGCATAACTGCAATGGTAAAGTCTCAGGATTCAAAGTTGTACTTTATTGAATTAATTTTTAGGCATAAATTTGACATCGAGGTGGTTATTGTGACAATATATTACTATCCCTGCAGATATGTGGAGGAAAATTGTCGGAGGGGGTGTTTGTGGGTTCTTTCCTATCTATGTCGTCAACAGATTCAAGAGGTAAAATAGTAAAGGGAAGGCCTGATTCATGCTCTTGTTCTTCTGCACTTGTTTTTCTTGCTTTCCTGGTTTTCTGTCTGTTTCTTCTCTGTGTGCCTTGCTGAATTCTGGATTTGGCGTGTGTTCTGGAATCTGTTCAGCTTTGATTCATGCCCTGAGTTTGTCTTTTCTATCTGCTGGGTTGAGTTGTTGTTTATCTAGCTCTTGTTTTGTCTATTGTGTGCTGCTGCAGGATGTGTTCTACAATGATGCTGAGCTAGTCAGTGTGCTGGGGTTGTTTGACTGTTCCTATGCCTGCTCAGAGCTTCTGTTTTTTCTATCCTTGCTGGTTCGCTATGGTCTGTCTTTTTGCTGGCCTCTTGTGTAGCTGTTCTGCGTTCCTGAGCTTGGTTCTGATGTGGTGGCTACTGTGCTGGTGTCTTTGCTCTGGTGCAGTTTGTGTTCCTGTGACCCTGGGACTGTTCTGCTATGGTTCAGATTGCTATAATGCTGTTTGCGTTTGGTTTGGTCAGTTTTTCAATTGTGGTTTTGCTGATTTGCTTTGCTTTGATTCTGTGTTGTTGAGTGCTAGGTTTTATGGGCTGATCCTTGAAGCTTTCTGCTCAGCTGGTGCTGTTTGACTGTTGTTCTTCATGGACCTACTGGTGCCTGCTCTGCACTGGTTAGGCTGCTGGTTTGGGTGCTGTACAATAGTGGTGTGGTTTGGTGTTGTTGTTTTGGTGGGCTGCGAGGTTGTAATATTATTTAATTTTTTTTGGACGAAAATTGTAATATTACAGCCTTTTTTAATGAAAATATGTAACTTTATATATATGTTAATGTTTCTATATCAATTTAAGTGGAAAAAAAATGCAAAATTTTTATTTTTTTATTTTTTTATTTTTTTGGGGTATTTTTGGCACCGGTTCTTGCTTAAAACTGGTGCCAATAGTGTTGATAATAAAAAAAAAAAATTTCGCGCCTTTGAAGTTGGTACCGGTTAACCGGTGCCAAAGCCTTTAGTTGACACCGGTTTTGAACCGGTGCCAAATTTTTGAGGATTTGGCATCCCTCAAATCCCCAACGGTTCAAAACCGGTGCCTTAGGGGGGGTTTGAACCGGTGCCAAATTACCTTTTTCGTCTAGTGCAAGCACTGTGTGGGGGAAATAAACCTCTTTAGGAAAGTGTACACATGCCTTTGACAGTGTATCAAGGTTTGAGTCTTACGGGACATTGTTATTCTCATGTTCATGTTCGTTAGTGTCGGCTTGGAGGCAAAGCAAGTTTAATTCTTCACACTAGTGCAGTCTTTGTAAATTTTAAGTAATTTCATTGACAATTCTAATACTTGATTGTACTATATTGTTTTGTATTTGATTTTTCAATTTATATTGTAATCATATAATTTAGGTTTTGTTCCCACAATTTTCTTTTATAGAGATCACTGTAAACCTAACAGTGTCTCCCCAAAAAACCAAACCTAGTGATGAGTACCTTTCGCGGCATTGATTATCGAGTTAGGTGAAGAGTTGAAGAGTTTCATGAATCCCCCTTTAGCCTTAACCATTTCTAACCTTTCCTTAAATGTTTTTAGCCAAAATCATTTATTTCGTGCCTTTAAACCCAAAATCATGCATTTCGTGTTCTCTTTCTATAAATGTCCAAACCTGTTTATTTTGATCCATAATCCTAGTACAATTATTGTTTAGTTGGATGGAGCTCGAAAAAATCTTTCCAACGATATATTATAAGCCCAAATCCGACTTAAAGCGAATAAGTTATGGCCAAAATACTAAACCAAGCCCAAACCGAGCCTAGGTCCACCTTATGTACGACCCAATGATCATGTGGAGGGTCCATTAACCTTAATAAACCAATAAGGATTCATTAGGAACTTCTAGAAGTCTCTAGAAGGCTCTCATCTATCCTTTTTGAAAGATAAAGATCAAACAGTTTGAAATTGAATAAGACTCCTTTTTTTAAAAGTCCATGTTCTATTCGAATTCAAAGATGTTCAGATATGATTTAGGTGCCTCCTAATTTTCATTCAAATAATAAATGGTTGGATAGTCCTTGAAATTATCTTTCCAATTATATATTATAATCCTGATTCCGAGCTATAACGTAAAAGATATGAATGAAATACCAAACTCTATCCAAAATTGACACTCTTCCACTATTTCTATCATATATGTTTTTCTTTAAAATATATCAAATTGATTCTAATTCAGTTGGAAATTAGACTTCCAGAGATTTCCAACGAAATATTATTTCGATTTCTGGAACAAAAGATATGATAAAAACAAAAACCGCAAAAACTGTTGTCCATCGAAAGAGTTTTATTCCTATTCAAATTCGGATCTTTTGCTAATCTTTTGACCCTCTTTTTTCTTATAAATACAGGTCGTTTCACCCCGTTTTCAATCAACTTTCTTGATCACCAACAATCATCATATCTTTCCCTCTCTAAGCTAAAATATTTTCTCTTTTTATCTTTCTTTCTTAGCCTAGCCTAAACACATCCTTGGTACTTTCCCCTAATCACACACCATACTTCCTTCACGAACTTTGAATACTCCAAGCCAATCTCGTAGTTGCCCTCGACCTCGACGTGAAAGGTTGATAGTTCTGAGGATTTGGTCCCAAATTTATATTTCAATTATTATTTGATTTACTTTATTTGTTTGATTTAATCTTTCTTGAAGTTCTTAACGTGTTTATTATCTTGATAGAAAGAGATACGAAACATTAAAGTGAGTAGATCTACAATCCTTATTCCTCGATTTTAATTCCTAGTATCATGTTAGGATGTTGATTTTGATTTCTAGTATCATGTTAGGATGTTGATTTTGATGTTTAGTATAATGTTTAGGATGTTAATTAATATTTCGAATATCATGATTCTTAGTATCATGTTTAGGTTAATGCTTTGATTTCTTGATTTTTATTAGTGAGATGTTAGGGTTTGTTATTAATCGGTTTAGTATCATGCCTAAGATCTTGCTAATAATGTTTTGAGGATATTATGATGATGATGATGATGATGATGATGATTGTTGTGTCAATTATTATGTTGCTTCATGATTTATGTTATTGCTTGATCACGCCCCTTTTCCCAGGTTTAAAGGGAATTTGTACTTGAATCACGCCTAATAAGATAAATAATTTGATTTAGGGTTAATATGATTTTAATGATCGCCAATAATAGATTTATTTGTGCACTAATAATCAACCAACATAGATTAAACAGGTTAAGGGCTAATTTGATGTATGTATGTTGATCGGAAAGCGCACATGAATATCTTAAGAATTAAGTAGAGACCAATTTAGGGCCGATTCAATATCTATTAGGTTGGATTCGTACCATCATCCTCAAATATCCAGACATGGTTCCGGACCACTATGGAGTTAGCGATCTCCATGATCGTGAATGGGGTGTAACCTTCACACCCGTGAACGGTTTACAAGTTCCTAAAACTTGTTGGCGACTCTTTTATCTCTAGCTTCTTTCCCTTTGAATGCTACCATGCCTAAAAGCATGATCATAGTGGGGCTCAAATTTGATGTCCATTCCGATGAACAAGCTTCCATTCCTTCAAGCCGACAAGAAGACCAAGTGATGATAAACACAAAGCACGAGGCGGGTTCTAATGACAAGATTTTATGATTCTTTTCTTTTTTGTTTCCCCCTTTCCCTTAATAAATCTAGCATAGGTACCCAAGGATTTGCCTGTGGGTTTCGAACTTTTCAGTTCGTGCGTGTTCTTGAAACATATTCTGAAGCTCAGAAATGATCTCGAAAGCCGTCTCCTTTTCAAAGAAAGTCTTTTGAAGGTCCGGAGACATAGTGGCCAACAAGATACATTTGACATCCCGATTGGCACTTTGCCATCGGTTAAGGGCAGCCTGAGTGACCTCCTCATTAGGAGCGTCAGGCATTTCCTCATCAAGGACGTATTCCTTTTGTTCTTGCATGAGAACAATACGCAAATTTCTTTGCCAATCAAGAAAATTTGTCCTGCTCAACTTCTCCTTGTCGAGAATTGAGCGTAAAGAGAATTGGTTGTTGTTTGAGTTACTTGCAGACATTATTCTACAATTGAAAGAATTTGAAATGAAAAACCATTCATATAATCAATAAGTTCGAAATTTAAAAGTGTTCATGCAAATTTTCAATCTTATTGAGCATTTTATCCACGCATTAGTAATTTGTCCCTTTTAGGCGAGAATAAAATGATTCCGAGATCCCAAAGATCAAGAAATGGTTAAGCATGATTTGGCTTGTCTTAACATTAAATATTTTAAGGTAAGCAATCCAATTGTTAATAGCTCTAAGCTACTCTCGGTTTGTTAAAACGTCGCATCTAATTCATTCTTGACATTTTATCTCTTTTGCCACGACATCTAAGGACTCCTTACTGATATCGTTGAGCTTAACCAAGACAACTTGTATACCTAGTATACCTTACGTTCCTAGGGAAGTAGTGATGCCTCGCTTTGGTGTAGCCCATCACATACGCGCATTACTTCGGTAAGTGTTGTTCTTGGAACGACAAATTTTAGCTCAATATTTTAAGAGACCTAGGGTTTCTATGTTGATTGATTTAAGTGAACTTAACTAATCATCGCAACATTTGAAATCCTAGAAATGCATCTAACATTCAAATATATATATAAGGCATAAATTTGATGCATTTGGCAACTAGCATGACCCCTTGAAATCTTCAAATCTTCAAGGGCCTTCATCTTGGCTCGTCCTCATCGAAACACCGTCTTGAGACATCTTGGACAAAATAAAATTACTAGCTACTACGACTAAGATAAATCTAAAGTACAAAAATATATAACGGTACGCAGACCGTATTTAGATTTACAAAAATACATAACGGAATGCAGTCCGTATTTTCTATCCTAGTCGAGTCCCACTAGTTGCCATTTTCTCAATAACCTGTTTGAAACAATCTTTCATTCACCCATTCACTATTTGTTAATGGCCCATGCATTTCACGAGATAATACAAGTAAACACGCAAAACTAGTAACTAACTTAGGTGGTTAATCCGATAAACGCGCCTAATTAAAACTAGTCAAACTTGTTTAATAAATTATGTATTACTAAGGTGGAATTTGTTCATGTAATTAGCTAAGCTCCCACTAAATTCGGCATCCAACTTAATCAATCCAATTAACTAAGTCGGTTAACCCAAATTTATCAAAATCAAAAATTTTACAAGAGCCGGAAAAATCAAGGTCTAACCTAATTAAAATAATTACATAAATATTTTAAAACAACAAAAATTTTCGCAAAACACATAGCCCAAAATTAAGCCAAAAACGCCCACTCATATCCTAGCGGGCTATGCAACATGGTTGATAGGCAGCCTAGTGTTAAGTGTGGTGCTGGCTGCTAGCAAGCATGCCTAGCGCAACATGCTCTGCTAGCTAGCACCAACAGCACGCTAGGCATGCTACGCATGCTAGCTGCTCGCTGGCGCAGGCAGCAGTGGGCTGGCTGGCTGGGGCTTGCTGCCTCGCTGCCCAGCAGCACGCACAAGCTCGCTAGCAGCCTGATGCCCCCGCACCCAGCATAGGCAGCACGCAACATCAGCCCTCGCCACATTGCACAGCAAGATCGATGCTCAGCCCCTGTGCACACCATAGGCAGCCACAGCAGCCCGGCAAGCCTTGGTGACGCTTGGGGTTTTTGCCTCAATTTGCGTGCATTTTCTCGGGATTTTAATCCCGATTTAAATGAGACGTAAAATTAATCTAAATTTATTTTTAGAATTAATTTAGGGCAAAATTAAAATAAAATAAGTCCAACTTAATTAAATTCAATTTTAATGGTGCACAAGCC